GAATGGATCTCCTTCCTTCTTTTTGTCATCGCTGTCATGTTGGCGATTGCGTACATGTATCGTCACGGAACGCAACTTTTTTGGGGGTTTCTCACTACCATATTTGAAAAAAGAGCATGTTCTTTTTCGAATCAAACGCAGACAGCTGCAGGCAGCGACGTTTCGCGGCGCTGCGTAAATACATTTTAAACACGTGGCGCCGCGAAACGTCGCTGTCTGCAAGTCAAAGTTACGACCTGGCGCCACTATGCGTCGGATGTGGGTATTCTATCCTATAAAAACCTCCTCCCATGCGGCCTACCGCAGCTGACTCATACACGCTCTTCTATCAGCAAACCCCAGAGCAAATTGGAGCATACCCTTGTTGCGCCGCGCTCTATTACATGCCCAATTGTACGCAGGTTTCCAATTGACATGTATATAGGTTACGGATATTCACGGAACTTTGTCGGATTACAAGCCGAGAAGAACTAGCACAACGAGCTCCATTTCCTACAACCAAAACAATATTCAACCTCATTGATTCAGCCCCATTGATTGAACAGCTGCTTGTTGGAATTTCCATCGCATGCTGTGGTCCGAACTGCCCCTTAGGGCAATAGATTATTTGACGCGTGAGATGATCGGACGAGCGAATAACGTTACCAGGGCGTGGCAGAAAGCACCGTGTTGTGTCGGATCCAGCGACTTGGAATCATGGCCGGATACGCTGCATTGACGATAGATGTCCAGGCTAATCAGATCCCGAAAATTCGAGTTTGGTCTATACCGATTGGGCAAACGGTCGTCGCAGCATCGTGTCGTCGACAGACGACACCGGTAACGTTCATGGCTGGTCTGCACGTGCACCACAGCCTCGTACAAGAGCCCGAGCAGCCTGCTCTTCGTCGTCTTCTCCGGCTCCTCGCCCAACACGAGTGGCCGCGACGTCACCTCGTCCCGCGGATCGCGCTCCTGCCTCCGCCTGCCTAAATCAAGTCCCTCAACCGAGTACACACAACGAAGAAAGTCCGACAATTTTATTTAGCATAGTTTTATCTATTGTAATAGACGACCCACTTCAACAACAACGTTCATGGCTGGTCAGCACATAGTTTCTTTCTTGCTTCCAACCCCGTGCCTCACTATTGTTTTGGAGCGGTAGACGCCGGCCTCCACGACCGACAACACATCACGCGCTCATTTCCGCGGCTTGTATGAGATGCAGAGGGCACAAGGAATGCGGCTGCGTCTTTTACGTCGCTCTCGATGGAAACATCGCGTCCTTTAGAAACCACCCTACGCCTCAAGATTTGAGGGGGTGGAGCAGTTTGCTTTGGCACGCAGAGAGCTTTGTGGTGTGGGTTACCCAATTGAAGAGATCGACCTGGTCCTTCCAGTGCCGGTGCAAGGATAGCGAGCAGACGACAAATGAAAGATGGTATCTCTTTTTGCCCAAATGTTGTCTTTTTGTTCCTACAAGCCCACGTTTATACTACGGATCTGTACACTGTTCTGGGCTATATGGGAGAACTTACTTCGAGATGTTGAAATTGTTGCAATTTTTTAGTCATGCAGCGTCAAAAGGCGTCATTTTCATATGCCACCATTGACCTCTATTGATCATTGAACCTGACTTTGAAAGCACGTGTGGCGAGCCGCGAGTCCCAGCCAGAGGTGTCCGTTCAACGACGAAGCGTCCTCACATTGATAGCGATAGTGTTGGTTTGCGGCATCGATTTCGACGACATGGCGCTGAGTAGCGGCAGTAAGCTCATAGGTTGTCCTGATTTTGAAGAACCAATTCCATTAATTACGTCAAATTAGTCCGAGAAGCTTTTCAAAATATCACACACTTCGACCGCCGTCGGCCGATGTGTCGGGTCCGTGTCCACACAGCGCGCCACGATCGTCGCAATCGCTTCCGGCATCGTCGACGTCGCCTCGTCACCGTCGTCCAGCGCCAGCAATACGTGGCCCAGCAAATACATATCCGATGCCGTACTCCGACGACCGCCACTTTGCACTTCGGGGGCGTCCATCGCCACGGCGCTCGGCAGCAGCTCCGTCGTCGTCGTCGTCGAGGACGATGCGTCGTCGACATACGAGCTGTGCGCGAACGCCGACACCTTGGCTTCCCACTTGCTCGAGACGACCACCGCGTTCGTTGACAAGGCGTTATGCAGCAGCGGCCGCGTCAGGCCATGCAGATAGACGATCGCCGACACGACGTCCAGTGCCAGCTGCACTTTGGGCACGGCGTGGATCGACGTCGGCGTCCACTCCAACGTCTGCTTGAGCGCGGGCTCGGACAAGATGGCGGCCAGCGACCCAAACGACATGAACTCGGTCGCCATCGTCAAGTCCAAGAGCGACGACGAGGCCGCGTATCCGAGGAGCGACACCACTTTCGGGTGCGAGAGCCGCGCGAGGACGCGGATCTCGTGCACGAGGCCACTCAGATGCGCCAGTGTCTCCATCGGCGATGCAGTCGGCGTGAGCACCTTGATGTCGGCCTTCATCGCCAAGTGCTGGGCGACGTACGTCGTGTAGAGCGGCGTCGCGCTGACGAGTTTGAGTTTGCGAATGTCTTTGAGCTGCAGCTTGTGTGCCGCCGTGAGCGCGTCATCGTTGCGGAGGCGGCTTGCGAGGTCGTTGGTGTCGAGGTCGAGCGAGACCGAGATGCGGTACTCGACCGGGTCGTCGTCCATGCGCGAGTAGCCCGAGCTGATGCACGTGGCGCGGAGCGTGTTGTCGGTGAGCGTTGGCGGTCCGAGAAGAAGGCGCTTGCCGACCATGTAGACAACAAGCAGCGAGAGGACCGTGCCGAGAAACACAAAAATGGGTCCGTACATGCCTATTGACGTGGATCAGCAAGGAAGTGTAGGCAATTTGGTGTCATACTGCGCAGCATGGAGGGGCTGGGGGCGTCGGTGATGCACACCGCAGTCTGCCGAAGCATCACGACTTGGCCGGTGCAGGATGTGATGTAGACGCCGCGTAGATTGAGTGATGACATGGCCGCGAGCGCATAGTAGGTGGCGACCGTCACATCAAACGTCGTAATGGTGTTGCCCGAGAGATCCCTATCGGAAGGTAAATGTCTTGGTCCTATACGGAGTTGAGGCGACGTACAGCGACTGCAGACTCGGCGGCAACTTGGGTTTTGAATCGCCGAGATGCGGCTCCCACGCAGACTCCTATCCAGCGATTGAGCGGCTCGTCAGTCTTCAA